GCAATTTAGTTCCATTTATTACTATCTATTTTATTTATAAAGATAGTACCGCAACCCAAGGGAATAAGAGAAGGTCCTTTAAAGTAAAAACTCTGTATAGATATCACGTTAGTAGTATCTCTTGTCAATCACAGCATCTTACATTATCATTTCACCATTAAGTTAGTTTTTTTTTTTTTTTTTTTAATAAAAACAATGGTTAATATATTAATATTATTAGATGTTATAAATTAAAATTTTGATTTTCAGATCTAATGAACAATTCATCAACCTCAATAAAACGTGCAACCACCAAGTCGTTTGATGGAGTTCACCGTTAAGTGAGTTGACATAACATTAAGTGAGTTGACATAACTAAGGTGAAGAATTTTTTATGATATGGTACGCTGTGACTGACTAAGAATGCCACATCAGTGATATTATTGGGATACAGCAGAATTTCTTCCGTTGAAGCCGAAGAAAATCTACTTGACTATCAGCTGTACTGTAAATGCCACGTGCAGCAGGGGTTCTTTGTCATCTCCGGTGTTGAATTGGAGAGCGAATATTTTGTCGCAGGCCTCCACTCATCGCATGTACGGCTAAATTGGTTAAACTGCAGAGGTCCGTCCAGCCATATTCTAGTGCCTTCAATCATGTTGGGAGAGCCGTCTCCTCACCTCCTGCATGTGTCCATATGATTATTTTTTTGAAAATTGGCAACACCTCTGTCCATGATTATCATAAATTCATAATATAACAAAAAGATCCTGTTTTATTATTTATACTACACTCACGTTTGAAGTTAATGATTTACATAATGAGAGAATGTAATTGTGGTTTAGTAACTATACTTCTTTTATAAAAGATTTTTTATATTAAATTTAATAAATATAAGGTTTAAATCTCATTTCAACATAAAAAAATAATTTATATAATAAAATTTAATATAATTTGAATTATTGAATTGTTTTAAGAAACATGGTTTTTTTTTTAAAGTTATAATTGCATATAATTTAAGTGATATGATTCGACATTCATAATGGATCTACATGTGAAAAATATATTAAGTGAGAAAATATTACATTGAGTATAAAAATAAAAAATTTGTGGGTTATATATAAAAAAAGTCACTGCACTTGTAGTCAATTGATTTTAAGTTTGATGTAAATTTTGTATTGAATCTATATGCACAATTTACATAGTATCAGATTTCAGATTCTATCATGAGCAATCCATTATTAACTCACCTAAGAGGATTCGAAAAGAAATTCGTTGTTAACTCACCTGATAAGACTTGAAGTTAAAAGTACCAAACCTGCATTTGAAGGGATATGTTAACCCAGCTAATATTCATAATAGATCTGCATATGAGAGCGGGTATTAAGTGAGAGAATCCATCTCAAATATAAAAGTAAGAAGTTTGTAGATTAAATATAAAAAAATATCTTTTAAATTAGATATAAACCATAATTTTCATAAAATTTAAATGGTTACACGTTCTATGCTCCTTCAATTCTTTCACGTTTCATCTGCAAAACTAGTTGTGGATATACTGTAAATGCCACGTGTAGGGGTTCCTTGTCAGCGCCGGCGTTGAATTGGAGACTTTGTTGGGGGCCTCTCAACTACGGCCGAATAGGTGGAATGGAACGGAGGTCCACTACAGCCATGTGCCGGTGCCAGTACTGTCAGTGCCTTCAATCAACTGGGAGAGCCGTCTCCATGTGTCCATGATTATTTTTTGAATATAGGCAACAGCTGTGTTGATTAATCTTAATTTACTATTACAGTTTCTCTAAATTACATTAAGGATATACTCCTAATATAATAGATTTATTTTTTAATAATTAATTTATGTAAAAAATATAATTAATATCAACTTTAATTGAATTAATTAATGAACTAAAATCATTCACATAAATATGTAATAATAATTATATTAAAATATAATTTTTT